TTATTTGACAAATTTACAAACGATGTCGATTAGGTAACACTGATTATTTGACAGTTTATTCATTTGTTATTCTTAAATAATCATATTTCAACAATAATTTACATGTACATTAAAAGCTATTTTCGCACTATATAAAATAAATATGTGCCAATGAATAAGTGATGTGTTAGTGTATACAAAATTGAAAAATATAAGTGCAAAATTAATATATTCGTGATCTGGAGAATCTTCTCTATTCGACCGTACTCATCTTATTCCCGAAATCTTGAGACGGTGTACTAAAGCCGACCCAATTGTATGAAAAGGCTTGGAGAAGAAAAACACTAACTACAGGTAAATATTCAATTCAATTACAAAAACGCATTGCTATTGCTTTATATGCTCTTGGCTCCTCTGCAGAATACCGAACAATTGGAAACATGTTCGGTATTTGTAAAAGCACAGTCTGCTCCATTTTAATTGATTTCTGCCATGAAGTCTTTCGATGTTTGTGGCCTTTGTATTTGAAAAAATTTCCAATGAACGGAACTCAATTGCGGGAATATTCAAATGGCTTTGAGTCATTTGACAATGGAGTTTTTATATATTTTTAAGTTTTAGAGGATTGTCATATACAAGCTCGCCCAGCAGCAGAAGATGCTGTCAGTTAATGTTTCGGTAGTTTTATTGAACACTTGTTGAAACTACCCATTTTGTGTAAACCAACCTTTGGACAAAAAAAAAATTCAACTATGTGTTCTCGAAATACCGAAAAGTGGTGGAGAATGCTTTCGGTCATTTAAATTAAGGTTTAGACGGGAATTGTGCTGCTGCTGCAAGAATGTTTAAATGTTGAAATTCATGAAATTAATAGAAAGCGGATTGCAGCACAACAAATCGAAAACGAAACTCGGCAGTTGCCCCAGAACGTCTCGAACATTTGTGGAAATGTTAAGCCAAGTGCAGAGGAAATAAGACAAGTTATGCATCCAACTTTGAAATGTTTTTAAATCTCTACCAGAAACCGATCCATACTTATATATTTCATAATTGAATTCCTGTACAAAAAAAAACATATATTTCTATAATATAATATTATATATATATATTTATATTCATGTTCATGACGGTGAGGTGGACGGAAGGTAATTGGGCACGTAATGATGAGGATAAAGCAAATTGCTTTGCAAATCACTTAGAGAAGGTATTTCGACCCAATTGCCCAAAGAACAACTTTAAGCCGCCAACCTTGCTCAATACCGCAAACGAGTCGCATGTGTCTATTAGGACTTCTACTTCTGAAGTTACTAGAATAATATAAGAACTTAACCAAAAAAAATCCCCAAGACATGATAATATTACCGCAAAAATGCTAATTGAGTTACCAAATATTGCCGTAGAAGTGCTCTTTTTGCTCTTCAATTCAATTCTTAATCTCAGACACTATCATAATTCATGGGAAAAGTCGCAGATTATCTTGGTATACAAACTTGGGACAGACTTAACACAGCCGTCTTCATACAGATCAATCAGTCTTCTACCCTGTCTTTCTAAAATATTTGAAAAATTGTTACTATCAAAGATGAATCCTTTTCTCCACGAAAATAATATAATACCAACGCACCAATTTTGTGTAAAACATAGCTCGATTGAGCAAGTAATTGTGGAGTGCAGTAAAGCATAAAAATAGTAAAACCTCGGAATCCAGGGACTGTCAGTGAATCTTTACAAAATTTTGGAAATGTGTTTTTAATAGTATATAGAAAAATGTTTAAAAAAATTGGCCGATCTCGATTACAACAATTTTTAACAAAAATTTACTGAAAAATAAGAGGCGAAAGGGGAAAAATGTTTACAGTAAAGTTTTTAATTTTATATGTAATGAATTATGTTTGCAAAGTAACTTTAATGTTAATTTATTAGATTTTTGCAAAAATTAATGATTTACAACAAACATTTATCATAACTATATACATTATTGTTCGTTATTGACGTCGTCGACATTCTAAGCAAGCTGCAGTGCGGTTTAATCCACTTTTCCTGCACCCACAAGATGTTCCACATCCTGTTTTGCACGAGCAAAAAATAATTTTCAGTAAAGATTCTGGAGCTGGTCGCTGCAGCATTGTTTGCGGTACAATATTCCGCTAAATTTTCTATGAAATGTAGCAGCTAAAGCCACATGCAGTGGTGATACAAATGAACGAGACCTTACTGCGGATATAACCGCATGAGCTATTGAAGCGCATTTCGTTTCATAATGATTCATTAAGTTGGGTTTACCTTTTTGTCCTTTAGAATTATTTCTGATAAAAAAAATTATAGAGAGTTTGGTGTTGCCTCATGAACGTTGTTAAACATTTTATCACTAGCTGGATACATTTTATTATCAATATATTTGAAAATCTGCTCCATTGCTGCATCTACTATTTTTTAAACGAATCTAACAGTCCGCGTGATACTTATTCTTTTATCGACTTTGCGGCAATATTCACTTATCTCTTCACTTATCAAATTTAATATCGTTTCCTTGAAATCAGAAGTAGTTACGTAGCTAATTCGTTGTCTTGACGATTTGGATTTTCTTGTTTCCTTCATTTCATCCACTTCTTTTTTACATAATTTTTTTTTTTTTTTTTTTTTAATAAGAATTAATGCACCCTTTATTGATATATTTTTGTCTGCATACTGAATGCAGGTAGACAAATTCGCGAGTATTTAAATACTGAAAAAGTCCATTAGCTCTTTCCACAGAAGCAGCTTTCAGTGTTCATATTCCTCTAGTGACTTTTATAATATCTCCTAGTTCAGAAATTAATTCAGAACTACATCCGATATTGTCACGAATGAGGCAATCATTACTTATATCACCCCTATTCGATGGTTCACCCATTTTTATACGAATAATAAATACTTACTATTTATGCCACTATTTTCAAACTTTGTAAAACTCAGCAATGTTCAGTTATTAATTTTTATCACGCTCACTACCCAATAATATAATATTAATTGTAAATAAACAGTAATTAGAATTATTTTTTAAGTGCGAACTACAGCAGCTATGTACGTATTAAGCTTAGCACGTTGCCAAGTGTACCCGCATTAACAACACTCAACAGCTGCTGGGACTGCAGGTATAAAAATTAAGGTCGTGGAGGGGAATGTCCTCTCTATTCCGCTCCCCGACCTTCGTGTTTATACCTGCAGTCCCTTAAGAACTAAGATCAAGTTTGTAATAGCTCTTCTTTTTGAATATAATTTTAAACTACTATAAATCAAAGAAAACTCCAAAAAATTTATTATTATTTATAACAATAATTAAAAAATTGAGATCGGCCAATGTTTTTTTTAGCATTTTTCTATATACTATTAATAACAAATTTCCAAAGTCTTGTAAAGATTCATTGACAGTGCCTGGATTCCGAGGTACAAACCTTACGGCGCTCCACTATAAATAGAATTACTAACGAAATAAGAAAAGCATTTGAGCACAGAGAGTACTGTTCAGCTATATTTTTAAACGTGGATCAGGTGTGGCATGAAGGCCTTTGGTATAAAATTAAAAAAAAAAATACCCCTTAGAATTAAATAAAACATTGGAGTATTATTTAAATAACAAAGTGAAAGTGAGCCGTAGTAAATACAATATTTTAGCATCAAAAATATTATCGGAGTATTTAAGTTCTGTCGAAGAACAGAAGTGTAAGCATTTTACATTTTCGCTAAGACCAAAGGTGTGCCCGGCAGTAAAACTAAAAAAGATTTTAGTATCCCAAGAGAACGAAATAACATACATATCTTGGTATTCACCTAGATAGAAGTCTTACGTGGAGAAAAACATCTCTAGTAAAATAACTTGTATGAAGAAAGTAGCTACAAATCTATAGATCGAATAAAAATTAGATTGAATAAAAACTCTATACTCAGCCTATACAACAAGTTGCTTTTCTATAATGCGGTCATAAAGCCGATTTGGATGTGTGGCATTCAGCTGTGGGGTACGACCTGTGCAACTAATATAGCTATAATACAAAGGTTCTAATCCAAGATGCTTAGATCAATCACGTGTTCACCATGGTACATGCGCAATGAAAATATCCATAAAGACTTTGGAATCTCTGTGGTAAGGAAAGAAGTAGAAGACAGCAGAATTAAATATATATCTGAACTGCAAGATCACGCAAACCGTTTGGCTAATGCTTTGATACATTCCTGCGATCAAACACGCCCTAAAAGAAGATATGTATATGCCCACGTACCAAGGAGCAAAGTATCACCAAAACAGCTCAATCACTTGCCTGAGCCTGTCTAGTTTTTAAATGTATTTAAGATTTTATAACTTAGGGCTAGGCTTTTAAAACAAAAAGCATATTCAATAAATAAAAAAGATTAAAAAAAAAATCGCGAGAAATCAAAATGATACCTCACAGATATAAATCCCACGGTGGGTAAACTATTTCCCCGAATATAAAGTCGCATTACACGCCTTCTGTGAGTTCTCTGAGAAAGTATACTGTGCCAATATCTATGTGTGCACACAATGCGATACCGCGATCACAAGCCACTTATTAGTAGCAAAGGCTAGGGTTGCTCTTTTAAAAACGCTAATACCACCCACAACAAATTTTAAGTGACTAGATTACACTTAATCTCTTCACTAATCTAGCCCGTTCTTACTGCCATTGGACAGATGATAAAACAGATGTTTTTGCCATTCAAGAATTCACATCACTTAATAATTATTAAAAGAAAAAATTGTTATATACTATAGAATTTTGTAATAAAATATTACCGACTTGGTCGAGTTGAAGTTAAGGCAATTCAACTTCAGATCAACCAAACTCTTTTTCGGTATTGCGAACTTCAACTAAGTTCAGTTGAAGTATGATTGGCGTTGCCAACCTAAGAAAGGGAAATTCGACAGATAGTGAAACAGCTAAAATTTTTTAAACGACATATTGAAACAATTGAATTCAGTTGTCGCTCGCGAAAAGGTGAATAAACATTTAAATAAGTAAAAAATGGATATAAGTGTTGATCTATATTACAATGACGAAAATATTGGGGGCAAAATTGATGTGCTAAGTATACGGAAAAGCTTTCGTGATCGTTCAAATCCATTGGAGCTTCCAAATGCAAAGTAAGCCATAGTTTTTTCACAATTGAGTGGCTTTTTAATAATATTTGTTGCAKATTCATAAGTTATTTTCGATTAAATAAAGAAGCATTTTGTTTTTTACTGAATGAGATGAAGGAACATTTCCACAAACGTGTGCAAGGAACGGCCATACTTCCTATATTMAAATTATGCGCAAAAATGCAGTGGAAATGATTTTAACATTGGGTTGGCGCAACCTACGATATCTTTAGTAATTAAAGAGGTTCTAAATATAATTGAACAACGTATTTGTGCCCAATGGATTAAAATTGAAATGACTGAGGAGGAGCAAAACGCTTCAAAAGTTTCATTTTATTCAAAAAGTGGTTTCCCGGGAGTAGTTGGTTGCATCGACGGGACTCATGTTCGCATAATTTCACCAAGAAAAGAACGGCAACATCTTTATCTTAACAGAAAGGGCTACTACAGTTTAAACGTGATGGTTGTATGTATAAAATCTGAATTATATTAGAAACAAAATGGTTGAATTTCTTAAAATTTATAGCTTTGTGATTATAAAAGGTCTATTCGGTATGTGGATGCTAGGCATGCAGGCGCAAATCATGACTCTTTTGTTTTCAATGCTAGCGACACTTGGATTTTGGGTAAGACTTTATCACATTTATTGCTAAATAATTTTAGTAATGTAATTTCTTAGGCGACGCTGGCTATCCTCTGCACATATTTTTAATGCCGCCTTATCGCTTGGCGGAAGCTTCTTCACCCCAATACAGTACACTCAAAGGCCCGGAATATTGTAGAGCGGACAATTGGTGTACTCAAGAGTAGATTTCGATGTCTTTTATCTGTACGAGGTTTACATTACACTCCTGAAAAGGCTACGCAAATTGTGAATGCTTGTTGCGCATTGCACAATATTTGCCAACACTTTCAAGTGGAATCTCCGGAAGAAATAGCATCTACTTCCAATGCTACAATGACCAATGATGTTTTGGACATAGAAAGAGAAGAAGATACGGCTCGAATAATTCGCAATAATATTATGACTTCCCTCTAAATAATTAAAATATTAAATTTCATTTATTCTTTCTAATGTACTATTTATTCAAGCATATATTTCAATTTTATTTAACAATATCATATCACTTCATTATTTATTGTAAACTTAAACTATGGTGTAAAAATATAAAATATCACTTCATTCCAGAATAATAAAAAAAAATAAAAAAAATATTACTTCGTGTGTTAAATAACCAAAAAAAAAATTTAAATCATTGCGAAGATTTTAATTTAGCAATTTTGAGTCGCTGCACCTCAATTTTAAGTGCATGGAGTTCATGCGCCTCGTTTGCTTTCCTTTCGTATATCTCCATTTTCCTCTTTTTTTAAATCTAAAGCTTCTTTTTGGAGAGTATACGATTTATATATAGTTTTCTCTAACTGTCCAATTTTTTTTTGTAAATTTGCTGTTTCGTTTCAGCTTGGGTTGAAAGGAGTTGCAACCTTTCCGATTCCATGCAATTGTTCGCCCTCCTTAACTGAACTCTCCTGGAAGGAGTCGGGCGTTCCTGCACAACTGGGGTGGACAATGGCGAGCGTTCAAGGGGCACATCGGCGACAGTAGGAGGTATATTCTCCACACCAAATGCTGGCGCACTTGGTGCAACTGCTTCCCTTAATTGAATGAGCTGGGCCACGCTCTCCTCCACTGGGCTCAGCGACTGCTCTTGCGACGGTTCACCACCAGTCGCAAGGAAGTCATTCCTGTTGTTGGCAAGTTTTTTCTTTAAATTTGCCTTATAGTGAATCCACACCTAATAAAAAAATTATATATATATAACTCATAACCATAACTTACTCGTCCCCAGTTCTGCTTGGTGGCCCTAAACAATTTAACTGCAGTGCCACACTTTCCCACAATTCTTTGGTTTTGAATTTATTGTTTCCAAATTGTGGCTTTCCTCTTCCTACTTCTGGAAACTTCTCCATTAACTCCACCAATTTTTCAAATTGCTTCTTTGTTGTAACTTAATTTTTTCTAAAAATTTATATAAAATATTAATTAAAATTCATTTAATATTAATTTAACATTAATTAAAATAGTTATTTTACCCATTCTTCATTTTTCTTTAATATTTTTTTGTAGTTTACTGCACGAATGTTGAATTCCAACTGCTCTTAAGCAGTTGAAGTTTATTTATATACTAGTCAACCCAACTTGTACAGTGTTGAAAACCGCAATACCAAAAAAAGTTGAAGTTCGATCATACTTCAACCGCAATTTTTTTTGACGGATTGAGTTGAAGTTGGCAATACAGAATTTTTAAACTTCGACTGAATTGCTGTTGGGTTTAAAACCGCAATAGGGGCAAGAATCTCCCGATTGTTGGCTAAAATCGCCAATGCGCAATATAAATTCACCATAAAGTTGAAAAATCTAACCTTTTCACACAAATCATGGGATGATACTAACACAAAAGGTGTGCTGCGTACGAATGTCAGGCTTGTCAATTTAACATTAACATATAATGAACGCCACCCTTTAATTATTCTAAATATTGCCATATTACTCCACAGTTATATCCATTTACTTATGCTTCACGCCTAACAGCGCCCAACGCGGCATACAGTCCGTCAAGAGTCCGCTTAAGTCCCAAAAAAAAAAAAAATCCATTTTCAGGTGCAATATCTGCACTATGAATAAACAGAACACATTTTATGAAAGAACTTCCGCCGCAACGCTGCAAATTCGCTATCTCTTTCACAATTACAAGTGTCGATTTTGCCAGGCCTTTTTAGATAAAGTAGTCCATGCTAAGGGCCCACATCTTAATGAAAGACTATGTGTCTGTTTTACGAAAAAAGCCGTGCACCTCGAGCTGTCTACAAATCTGACAAAGGAAGCTTTTCGTAGGATTTGTTCACTTCGTAGTAAAAGAAAGTTTGTGGATTTTATTAAATAATTCTCACTTGAGGTTTAACAACCGATGAAGTCACGTATAGATGTTCACGCAAGTACGGAAAGTTCTATGATCACCATTCACTTGGGAGCTCAAGCAGCTCACTACCAAATATTCTCTGGGTAGCCAAACAACAACCATTTGAAACCGAGCTAAAGCAAGAAGGCGAACCATCTTTCCCAATCTTTGTGCGCTGGGTTTGGGATACACCACATACAAAACGACCCTAAAGGAAACAACAGTCTCGAAAAAGAAACCCCCGTTTGGAGTAMGGTCATGGCAAACGCATAAAGGACACCGATTTAAAGGCATGCACCTGCAATGCCCGATATTTTAATTGGGAAGCATTCCCAGTTGGGGCTGACATCACGGCCCTCCAAGAAATTTGATGGACCGGAMAAGGACTGGGATGAGTTCACTACAGTGGCCATATAAAGGAGTGAAAATTCGATGTGGGATTCGTGATTGGAGAGAGACTCCGTCTCCGAGCCCTAGAATTCACCCCGGTGGATAAACGTCTTGCCACAGTCCGCATTAAAGCGAACTTCTTTAACATATCGCTAATTTACTTCCCCACCCCGACGGAAGAGAAGGACGACCACAGATGCCTTCAATGAGCTCCGAGCACTCATGGGAGCTGCTCCCGCTACGATGTCAAAACCGTGCTTGTCGACTTTAACACCAGGGTGGGCAAAATAGGTATCTTTGGCATAATGGTCGGTAAATTTAGCCTCCATGAGGAAACATCTCCAAATTGATTGAGCCCGATCGATCTCGCCACATAACTGGGACCCGAAATATGGTTATTTATATTACTAGGTTCCAGCATAGGAAAATTTATCAAGTTACTTGCCTGTCTCGAAAAGGCACCAATAAGATCGATTAGGTTCTAAGAAATGGAAGACACGTCTCCAGGGACGTGGATCCACCAATTTCTTGCCTCCTCTAAGTTAACCAAAACTGTTCAGTATTCCGACTAGTGGAGGTGACACCGTTTACATCTAAACGTCCATCAGTCCAGTCAATATTTATACAACGCAGATCCCTATTGTCAGAGCACATCGGGCATTCTGCACTTAGATGCATTCCGCACCAATGATACACTTGTCAACTTACAAAACCTTCATAGCATGTGCGGAGACAGTGCGCAAAGACAGGCTAGCATCGTTCCACGCTGTTCCCAAAGCTGTTGTGGCTTCTTCCCACCATACAGCGGCCCAAGCAGAGAGTCCATCATGGGGTTCCAAACATAAAGACCACAGAATGAACCCTGCGGGCAGCGGGAACCATCCAATCTCCACACTCCCACTCATACCGACTAGAGCAGCCTTCCCGTTCGAAAAGTAACTCCACCAAAGAGTAATTTCTGGACAGCCAAGCTCCTACATCTGTTGCACCACTCGAGCCCGTTTTAGGTAATCAAACGCCCCTTTGAAGTCAACAAAGTTCTGGATATGAAACCATGTATCCTCCATACTACGTTTTTTCCTGAACCCATAGTACCAGTACCCAGTACTATAAGGAGATTGATGCCTCGATGAGAACGAGGATCGTTAATAACTTTCGACTCAATTGCCTGGCATTCTTCCACTTCAAGGTTAAGCCAAGCGTCCACCACTTCATTTTCCTAACCATGAAACTTTTATACCTCCTAGGAACGCTATCATTTACCCTCTAAACTACCTCATAAAGACCAGCAATTTGCTCGTCCCCAACCCAACTCTTCAAACACCCTAAGCGGTTTGTCCAACACCGCTTACCTAACAGAGAGTCCGTATTGGTACCAGTGGTATGCCATCGCGGCAGTGAACTCTCTTACCTCGACCATGATTTGAATCAAATTATAATCATTCAATTCCCACCCTCCCTTAACCATACAGCTAACGCTGAAAGCCCTACTTGCTGAATAATTCATAAGCGTCACGTAAATATCACACACGTCCCACTACATTACGGTTCCGACGGTCATGTATGTGTCGTCGATCTCCAGTCTCTAAGCGGAACATTAAGAAGACCGCCCATGATACTATGTTTTCTACCATATATCAATGAAAACACAAATGATGAAAACTCCGCCACTACTACCACAAGSCAAATTAAATATTCAAATAAGAGATAGATAAGCCCGCAAATAAAAAACCCATGGAAACTACTAACAATCCTAACGATCTACATGACGACGTGGCTCAATCGTAATATAAATTTTCATGCAACAGAATTATAATCATAATAACATCTTCATGCAGCTTAATAGGAATGTGGATATGCCAACATCACTATTAAGGTCAACCATTACCGTGCCGCGCCCTGGAGCAACTCCAGCATTACGAACGCCAGCAGCAACCGCCAATACGCTCGCCGTAGTGGCACGCCACCACTATTACCCTCCTCGGCACCAGCAATGGAACCTCAGCGCAGCCAATGTCCCCTGTGTCCATGCTCACATCGGCCACAACATTATAGCATTTTCCGCGGCATGTAGTCCATGCAACGCCAGAAGTTTGCTCAGGCAAACGGGCCGCACCACACCATGCTGCACCGTATCCCAAAACGGGGCACCAACTAGCCACGAGCAGATCGCAGCAGACACGTCGATTCCAAAGGCTAGTAGCTCCTCCATCCAGATCGAGGCTCGGCAGCCTCGGATATCATACCGCCACTCCACTGCCCTCAGCTAGTATTTGTCAACACACAAACCGATCCACTCACGAGAACACCATACACCAATACATATAAGACCGTAAGTTATATATAAATATCTCAAACTCTTTCTTTTCTCGCTCTCACTCTGGAATAAGATTTACTGTTAATTTTAAATACTTAGTTTTTTTAAGTTGAACTCAACGTTGTTAACAGATTTTTGGATAATCGTTAAGTCAGTTGAATAATGATGATCGAACAATAAAGATTCAT